TACTCTGCCAACAAGCAAAGGTAACAGTGCAGCCGGCGGTGGTAATGGCGGTAATGCTGGTGCAGCAGTTACTTTGACAAAACCGCATCATTACAATTTTACCGAATTGAGTGATTTTGCTAACGTTGACAATGAGGAGCAAGCCAATTGCCAAATACAAGAATTTCCACGTCATTCGCTAGTGATTGTGGAGAAATTAGGCAGCGGTGTATTCGGTGAATATCATTTGTGCGAAACAAAAGGATTAAGGTAAGCGGTTTTTCATAACATTCACAAAGAAAATCATTTTTCAAAGAAGATATTCAAATATGCAGAGAGATTATAATAATCTTATAGTGGAAAGAAAAATTACATTAATAAAAATGAATGTGAAATGTGAAATATAAAAAAAAAGTTTCTATTTTTAATTTATAAATATTTCTTATTCTCTAAAAATGCAAAATTCTTTAAGACAGAGAATCGGTAAAGCAGAACGAGCTAAACCTTCAAATTCTTTGTCAAAACAATTCAGTTTTAGGAGCAAAAAAGTAAAAACTTGCTCTAGATGTCTTGTGACTCTCATTTTGACCTTCCCTTAAACCAATAGACCTCTTTTTCAAAAGCTCGAAACCAGTTTAGTCTAATAGACGCAATAAGAACTATCTATCCCGACATGGAAAAGGAATGTGTAACAACGATCTCCCATTTTTTTTGATCCATAGAATCTTTTACTATTGTTTGACGAGCTTCAGTTTATTTTGAAAACAACGCGACTTTGTATCCATTTTTTTCCACTCTCTATACAAAACTAGTTATAAACTGACACACACACACGTTTATTCTTTTGATTTCAATTTGTAAGCGACGATTTGCCAGAAGATTGAACAAACAAACAATAGTCGAATCAACTTGAAATTTGCATAAAGTACTAAAGCATTCATCAGATTTTATCTTAAAAAAAAGTTTTATGCATTTCAGTTCAGTGATCGATATATAAAAATAGCAATCTTAACTCTTCCTTATAAAGATATGTTTTTTTTTTTTTTTCACTGCATAAAAATTTCGTGGCGGTTTTTTGCTAAAATTTAAAAACATTTTTCCAAAATTTTAAAAGAGTTTTATTATTAACCTAAGCTTGCGGCATTTTGAACAAAAAATTTTTACTATTGTCTAAGGTTTTACTTAAGACATTATCATGTCAGCAGCACGACAACTCCTAATTGTTATATCGGGATCTTTCGAAGGCAGCTTTACATCATAAAGGATGTTCTTTATATACTAACTTCCCAGCCGAAGTCCCGCATGGGCTCGCCTTGTCTTAATGCAAGACGACGGCTTGCTTACTAAACAATTCTGGATCGATCTTGGCTACCGATAGCAGAGAATGCAAACAACCGTCAGATTTGAGAAGCTCATGACAAGCCATTCCCTTTTAACTCTAGCAGATACAAGGCAAGACCTTATGTCATGTCAATTCGTGTTTTGTACCCTTTTGTATATTCTTAAAGCTGCGTGGGCCACGATTTTTCTCGGAATTTCTTACCGATGCGGTCTAAATTTGGCAAATGGCCTCGTATGAAAATCTTCAGCACATTTTTGGCAGCTTGATTTGCAGCTTGAATTAAGGCGCATTAATGGTGCATTATCAGTTCGTGTAGTGTTCATATATTGAGATTGCTTCTGCATCCTCTCCTGTGCAAATGGTCGACAATTCCCTATTGGTCAATGTTTAGCTACGCAACAGTATCATAAGACGGAGTGGGCTGAGATTATTCAGTTCTTTCGCGAGTCCTAACGAGTTTTTCAAGGGCTGTTGGCTATTAACCTCTTCCTGACCTCTTGCTGTCTATGCGTGCAAAGTAGCTTCACCTTCATGCAGGTAATATTTTCATAAGCTTGTTAAGGGTTGCATATCATCTTGGCCGAATTGACGGATCGAAACTTAATTAGTCGCGACCAACGCCAATAGCGTCATCAAATCCACGCCATCTAATGGGAAAGAACGCGACGAACTTTTTACCTCTACCTTTACCATTATCAAATTGCTTAACCATGTTGAAGTTAACCCTCAAAAAAAAAAAAAAAAAAAAAAATTTACTGCCAACTTTTTTTGACAAGCTTTTTATTATGATTATCACATCATCGAAGATAATTTCAAATGTTGCCAAAACGCATTAAAAAAAAAAAAACTTCATAAAAACTTTTCCAATAAACTTAGCAGGAAAACAAATCGAAATGATAATCAGGAAACAAATGAATAACTTGCCATCATACAACTACTACCGCTACTTTTACTATAAATTGGAATAAATTCAGGCGTAAAGAAATAAAATCTTAGAAATCATTTCAAGCAAGTATCGTAAGAAATGCTGGTGACATATAAAAATCCAAAAATTCTTAAAGCAATTAAGAATTTTTCCTAAAAACCCTTTTCATCGACAAAACACAAAAGCACAAGGTGGTGAGAAGACCTAACTTTTCTATTTTTAATAGGAAAATATTGTTCTTTTTTTTTTTTCTTTCTTTTCCTTCTTTTCATTTTTATTATTTAGTTTGTCTTTGAAAGTTTGACAATTCACTAATCAAAAATTCCATTAATAAAAAACTTTTTATTTATGTTTTTTCCCGTTATTCTGGTTTAAAATTACTCTGCTCGTTGTCGAATATGTATAAATTTATTGTGTGCACTGACATGTGGTGGTATTTGATTGAATTTTGTTGTATGTTTCTCTTTTTACACACACACACACACACACACACACACACACACACACACACAAATTTCAATTGTTTTGAAAGGTAGACAATTGCTTTACAATATTAAAACTTTTGCATACATATGGAGAGCGACGATGACGAAATCGAAAAACAGCTAAAAAGTTAGTTTTGAATATTGAATCAATATTTGTGCTTTACAACGTCTAAAAACTTTTTGAAAAGTTATAGCCAACAAATTTAAATGAATAACTAAACAAAAGAAAATTCACTTAGGCCACGGTTCTTAACTGAAAACTAAAGAGGTGAAAAGATTAGTCCGTTGAAAAATAGGAACGTTCACAGACCGCTGACAACATGGAAATCATTAAATTTAGTTGTATGCCCACTAATAGAGATGAAGAGGTCAGAGAGCTACTCAAGAGACTAAATACCAGCGGGTGTGCGGCCACGCAGTGCCATATTGCATATGTACAACGGACTGCAGGATTAATCCTATAAAGTGGGAAACGATCCAAGGTAGGTTAGAATTTAGAAATCACTAAAGCTAGTAATATGGCCAGGAACAGAAGTGAAGAGCTGACAGAGTCATTTAAGAGATCGAATACAAGTAAGAGTGCGTCGCCACAGTTTCATATTAGAACTGAACAACGGACTAAGGAGGTGTAAAGATTAATCTCACGAAGTGAGGAACGTTCACAGGTAGGTTAGAATTTAGAAATCGCTAAAGTTAGTTGCATGTACACTTATAGTTTTGAAGAATTCAGAGAGCAATTTAAGAAGCAGAATATAAGCGCATGTGCGGCCCCAGAGCGGCATATTGGAAATGTAGAACCGCTTCCCCGGATAGATCTGTTTGCGAAATTTTTGCTTTGCAATTTTTAAAGATAATATCTAATAAAAGAAGAATCGAATCAAATTTAAACAAGCACGCCCCCTGACCAAATTTTTTCACAGTTATTCCCTTGTCTGTGCGCTCGGCAACTTCAGGAAAACTAAAGCTCTCGTCATGTTTCTCTGTTCGAAAATATCAATTAGGTTCTTAAGTCTTTTCGTTAATGGGTCCGCGCTAATTATTTCCGTTTGTACAAGAGCATACAAACGAATTACTTATAACCGTAGCATCTGGAAAACAAACCAATGAAAAACAGAAAAAAATCAAAGGATAAAAAATACCAACCGGAGATATAACGCAATTTCTTTCTTGTGGTCTGCCACTTGCCACCTGCTTGTGCCGTGGTAGATGCTTCAGGCTACGCTCTTCTCAATCACATACATCACGAAAGTGCTTTAACTTTGACAACCGAAGCCGGATCTATCCTGTACGCTGTGAACGTACTATTGCTGACAGTTTGTCTGCATTAAAAGCTATACGGAATCCTTCGACTTCGAGATGGCGCACCATCAACAAATTTGCGGAATATCCTTACAACACCTGGCGAAAAAATCAAAATGCTTTGGTACCAAGTCATAAAGAAATGAGCAAATTGATCGAGCGGCAAAGTATGCTGCTTCTGCATCTCTAATTATGGATGCCGTCATGGAAAAGTTGGATTTTCAAGGATACATTGGAAGAAAAGTTAAAGAGAAAATTACCAAAGGAAATCTACAATACCATCATCAGCGCTACTCTTATATTAAACCTCGATTAATTCCCCTTTTATATCCGACAAATGTTGCGAAAATCAAGATCCAAATCTTTTCGAGAATTCGTCTTGGCAGCACAATTGCAACTCACCAATGAATCTTAAAGAAGTCCCCCTTCCCAATCTGCAGTTGTGGGCAAATTTTCACCATAAAGCACATTCTCTGTGACTGCCTTAGCTTTTCCCTGTCTAGAAGTATTGCATTTGGAGCGATTAATCCTATGGACATTTCCCAGTCAGCTACAGAACAGAACATCAGCACAATATCTTATGGACTTTTATAAATTAGAGCCGATAGCCTGTGTTGCTAGTGCTCCATGTCTTTTTCTTTTAGTCTAAGCATTTATTTTATTAGTCTAAAATTATAATAATATAAATAATAATAATAATAACTTTCTTTCCTTAACGAAACGCAAAGTGTTCTTAGTTTATCGTTCAATGAAAAACACCTACAATATATGTATGTAGAATGCGTAACTGATAGATAGGTAACTAAGTTTTTCTCTATTTATTTCAGAAAATTGTTAAATAAAAACTTTTCAATTAAGAGCTTGAGTAAAATCGACAAACACTTGTATTTAATGTCAATTATAATATTTAAATAATAATAATAATAATAATAATAACGACAACAAACAAACAGCTCTGGAAGTCGACTTCATTAACTTATGATGTCATATTTGTATGAAAGTGTGCATATTACTGACAATATCAAAACACAAAAACAAAAAAAAAAAAAACAAAAAACAGCAACAAGGACAATGCAAACTATAAACTACCATAACATTTGAGCAAATTGTTTTGTGGTTTTATACGGTCTGTCTCAGCAAACACAAAAACACGCATAGACATACATACACGCATTCATAATATAAACGCACAAGCCGACAGATATCCTATAGACAAATTCAATATGAAATCTCTTAATAACACTTTTTAATATATTCGTTATCACATGTGTACATATGAAAATTATAGAATAAGTTGAGAGTTGCTTAGGTATGAGTGCGAGGGTATTTTATGTACACATATATATGTGCACTATGTGTGTAGCGTTATGTGTATATGCATAAAATAAATAATGTCTAACTTTTAATGTTTCCGTCTGTCTAACTGTTAAAAGTTTAGAGGAGAGCAGGAGAAAATTTCCATTAGTTCAGACCTAGGTGTATATTTGCGAGCAATGTATGAGCAAGACAGAGAGAGAGAGAGAGAGAGAGAGAGAGAGAGAGAGAGAGAGAGAGAGAGAGAGAGAGAGAGAGAGAGTGATAGAAAAGAGGAGAATATGTGTGTATGCTCGGTCGACAATAAAGTCCATCTGTTGTCTGATAACTGTCTATCCAAATGTCTATTAATATTTTATCAGAGACTCTATGTCGTACTACACGCTGAGATACAAATGCACGCACACAGCACACATTTATACAGATTTGTTTAATTATTTTTTCACACTTTTTTCTTCTTTTATTTTTTTTTTTTTTTTTTTTGTATTATTATCAGACTAAGCTAGAGAAATAGAAGGGAAGAGACGATAAAAAAAAAAAAGAAAAGAAAAATGGAAAAACTAACAACTGACCAGTAGGTTATATTAACTTCTCTAATAAAACTAAAAGGAAAACAGAAACAAAGCAAGCGGAGGATATAAAAATTTATGCAATATTTTGCTTGTCTGATGAAAAAAGTTTGCATTTGTAATTTTCAATTAGTGTTAATCTGTCCGTCTGTCTGTCCGTCTGTCCGTCTATCCGCCTGCCTGTATGTCTATTTATGCATAAGGTAAACCACACATATACATGCAAGGATTTTTCCCATAACTGCCTGTAAAGCTACTCAATACTTTCTCTACGTATGTTGCATAGACAACAAGTCCTGCGTAGTTAACTTGGCATATGTGGATTTCTCAATCTAAAAGTGTCCATCAGTTTGTGGCTTTAATAAGATAGTTATTGTCATGTTTGCAAATCCGTTTCCATATACGTATGCGTATGAACATTATAAAGTGCGATGGAGGAATTTTTAAAACCATACCAAATAGTTGATCGTATTAATTATTATATTTCAAGTGTGCTATGCGTTTTTGTAAATACATACGCTACGCCACATATGTCACATATTTGGTTTCTATATCATACCTAGAATAATTGAGACTGGTTACACACCATTATAATCTTACTTACTTTTGACATGGACAACCATAAATTCCTAACATTTCAAACCAAACTATTTTAGTGTTCCCTTCTTACGATAGACATTGATGTCCGTCTCTCTGTCTCCTATTCTCTCCCCCTCTCTCTTTAGTTCCCTCTTCTCATACCCACTATCTCCTTATCTTTCTCGTTCTGTCACATATGTTATTCTCGAGTACTTATGTGTACGTTTTCTGTTAATAATTCACTTTGTCACTGTTCGGGCAAATTGTTTTTCCTGTATTAATTAAATATTAAAATATGCAGAGCGCCCCACTATGCTATCTTCATACAAATCTCTTTCACTTCAATCATTACATTCTTTGTGCATAGTTACGTGTCCCTGCGGTATTGTCAGTAAATTTAACTTAACGCGTGTATTGATGTTTGCGCCCTATTTTACTAAATGTGCGGTATTTATCCCAAACCTCAATATGGTCTCCTCCTACAATAGTTCAGTTTCGTGTTGGCGCATTTGTGTCTACAGCAACAAAAACCGTGATATCATGGTTGCGGTCGATGAGGCTAATTAAAAATAAAAGCTTGTTCTCCATTCTTTTTTTTTTCCCTGAGAAACACTAAATTATAATAAAAATAATCCAACTTATCAAAATAACTGCCACCTGACTATCAAATACGGGGAAAGTTACTGCATTTTACATTTGCCCGTTCAAAGAGTGCTACGGTATTTTACATATTTTATAAGTTTTAGAATACTTAACTAACAGTGGAGTAATTTAAAAAAAAAAACACGCTATAATATTTCGTCCAAAACGTATTTTGTATACATAGAGTGTAACATGGCGTACGATGGAAAAAAAATGATGTCAATGGTAGTGGAGATTATGGGTGGATGTAGCAATTGTGGAGAACAGGAAAGCTAAGGAATTCAGAATAAACGAAATTCGACAATATAACTAGGTTCCCCACATCCGAATTGAGTCAACTTATGGTATATCAAAACTGTCAAGATTGCCATGGAGAACACGAACAGGATAAAATAGCTTCTACAGTCTACATTTTTTGAGTTGCATGGGCTGAATTTGACGATCTACACTACGTGAATAATAAAACTGATGCATCAATTTTGCCGTATCGCACGTCACACATAAATCTTATATCCCCGTTCCTAAAGAAGATCATAACTCCAAGCTTATGTTCGTAAGCTAAACAGCGTATGGAAGCCAAATGAAAATTGCCCAACGCTAACAGTAGGACCAACTTTTCAGCAGGTTCAGTGAAGTCAATATCACCTCGGTAAGTACGAAATCAAGGACTTGAGGAATACTTAAAAACACATACGATCATAAAGCACAGATGAGCTCTTCTTTGGATAAACATGTTGAAATGCTTTGGAGTATAGTTTGATGAAATCTTTATTGCTTCGATAATTAGGAAATGACGGAAGTGAGGCAAATTTAAGAACACAACCGATTATAAAGCGTAGATGAGATCTTCTTTGGATAAAAATGTTAAATACTTTGGAGCATCGTTTGATGGAATAGGAAATCAAGGAAGTGATGCATATTTAAGAGCATGGATCACCAGATGCTTCTTTACATAAGGATGATGGAATTCCATGGACCGTCATTTGGTAAAATCTTATTGACTTTTTTCTTTATTGGTAATAAGTTTCATATATACATTGAATTGAAGCCTGTCATCAAAAGAAGAGATGTTTTCTCAGCTTAAATTATCAATATGGTAAAACTTGGCGCATGGTAATCTTCTGGTAAATGTCAACCTTTTGCATTTATTCAAATTTAAAGGTTTAAAATTTTGTTCACCTCATGTCACCATTCAATTTGTTTCGTATTACGACAACGAACATTCTGGCGGATTAAAGGTGAAAAATAATTGAAAATCATCCGCTTATATAAAAGTTTATATTGCTCACTTCAATCAGTACAATGGAAACCAAGTAAATCAAGAGTTTCCGGAACAATAGTTTTTAGTTCATTCTGTCAAAGGCTTTACTGTTATCGATATGAACGAAATTAGTTTGACAAATTACGAAAAGTGTGTTATGAACGCCATGTAATAATTCAAGAGGCTTTGTTGGACTTAATTAGTCCTCGATGAAACCATATTGTGCTAGGAACATTACTAGATTCATGCTGCCAACTGGTCTTGGTAAGAAAAAGGACGTAGGAACGTAATCGAGGCTCGGCTCATTCTTCATGGAAAAGCGCGGCATCGTCTCGGTTATTTGATGAGCCATGGTAGGGGCGTTGTGTCGAACGAAGTATGCATAACAGAGATAAGAAGAGATACAACGTTATGCACCACATCACAGAAATGAGACAAGAGAGGAATAAATAGATTGGAATAGACAAATTTGTCAGCAATAAGGCTCTTTAACAAGTCGTAGCCCAGGTACCTTGACATTTAAGGTTAGAATTGCAAATGTGATAAGAAGCTCTGCAGGCAGAATACTACTTGGGTAAATACTGATAATGTGACGCTGGGGATCTCCAGGACGTACAAAGGAAGGAGTATGTGTTTACTAGAGAATACAAGATGCAAAGTCTTTTTACTGCCATTTTATATTTTATTAGCTTCAACAAGGCAGCAAGCAAAAATTTAATTAAATTTATGCGAGACAAGGCTCATAATTTCTTACTTTCTGTAACTTCTTTCCGACCAATTCGAGTATGTCGTATATTCAATAAATTAATTTACTACTTTCCGGCCTATGTTTGCATTCTAAACACTTTTTTTTTTTTTGTAAATTCGAGTTTGGCTAAGAAAGTCATTGATAAGTTAAGTTAGAAGATCTCTACGAAGCAGTTAGTAGGTCTACTTAAATATAGAAGCAAGACAGGTGGGATAAGAAATTCCATATCTTGGTAAACATCGCTCAGAAAATTCAAATGTTAATTTCAGTAAGGTCTTCCAGTAAATGTCCATTAGTACAGAATGGTGTACTTGTAAAAAGAAATAATGCAATGCTTTTTGTTCAGTTGAAAGACTCTCATAATGGCAAATGGCAAAATGGCCGACATTTTCGAGAGCTACTACAATCACAACCCTTTTATTACACAATTTTGTTCCATTTGTCAAGCAGTTACTAGCACTGCTGGAAACTAGCATTGTTAGCTTTTTACAGCCTTTTACAAAGTATTTTCGTAAAGATTTTCTTAGAAAATGCTGCGAAATTTCACATTGAGTTTGCAAGTATAACTCTGATCACTCTCCTATATACATGAAGCTCAGATAATTGTTCTAATTTCAAACAAGCTTGGGCATCACTATTCCAAAACAAGTGAAAATACTATGATGTGTCACGGTCTACACCATTTCGTTTAGTGTAATTATTGATACGACGTATCAAAATAAAATGTCATATGAGAAGTTCTTGAATAAGTGGTTTGATCCAAACGACTTTCAAAGGAAGTCATACTTGGACTAAAACACATCAGTGTAGTAAATTTCATTAAAACATCTTAGAATTGCGACTTCTAGGTTGAACCGAGAAAACAAGATAGTTGGACAGACCGAAAGTGATTCTGAAATGATTGTTATAATAAAAGGGGAGACAATCTCAAGTCCGCCTGGTATGCAGCATGCATCCACAGTGTATAAAAACAAAGATTTCCTTAATATCAAATTTTTAAAACTACTTTCATAAAGTATTGAAAAAATTTTTAGAATTCATAACATATATAATATTGTAAAGCAGACTTATTTCATATTTAAATCATTTTGTTATCTTATTTTAGCACAAATTTAGCGGCTGTGGCCACTTTGAGGCCGGGTGCTACGGAAAATATGCGTAAAGAATTTCGTGTAAAAGCTAAACAATTGACACGCCTTAAAGATGCAAATGTGGCGCCACTAATAGGAGCTTGCCTTCGAGATGAACCGATTTGTATGGTCTTAGATTATAGTGACTGTTTAGGAGATTTAAACCAATTCTTGCAAGAACATATGGCCGAAACTAGTAATTTACAGGCCATGACGAAGCACAAATGTTTAAGGTGAGTCCAAAACGTTAGCAAAGTTCAAAACTATTGTTTGAGATTTTTTTCAAATACATTTTTTTTTATTTTTTATAAAAATGCGTTATTTTGTCCAAAACTAAAACCGGTAAAGAAAAAAGCTAACATAACATTTTATATGCTTCCTTTTGCTGCTTTCATGCTTTATCTTGTTTCCTGCTCCGACAACTACGACATCGTCCATAATGGCGATGATAATAATGATGATGATGGCGATGATGTTGTTGGTGATTGTGATTGTGATGGCAATGACGACGCCATGCTGCTTATTACTGCTGCGGCTAATGCCATTGGCGGCGATGGTGGTGATGTCGGTGTTGTTTGGTACTTTTAAAATTTCCGGTCTCGTGTTGGCTTCGATTATACAAATGTTGCTACTGCCGCCGCTACTATTTACTGTGGCTCTTTGGCTATACTATTTGCTTGTATATAACTTTACCGCTAAAATCCTCGCATTCCCACTCAATGTAAAATATATCTTCCATCACAAACACATACACACACACACACACACACACGCACATACACACCACGGATGTATAAACTTTTTTGCCGCGTTTTCATTCTCAACTTCTACTTTGTTTTTTTTTAATCACACATCCATACGTACGTATCGAAAATCCCTTAACAATCAACCGAAAATAACTACAACAGCTATGGATGTCTCGTGTATATTGCTACACAAATTGCATCGGGTATGAAATATTTGGAACAAATGAATTTCGTTCACAGGGATTTAGCAACAAGGTAAGTCGTAGTAATAGTTTTACTTTTTCTTCTTTTTACCTTCATCACCAAAGTATGCGGGTATATTCATTTTGTCATAATGTTTGTCAACACCGAGGAAGAATGCTTTCGAGAGCTTACAAAATATATTTATTCTTGATCAGTATCAAATTCAGAAACTAACTAGACACGTCCGTCACTCCACCTGTGTACATTTCTTTGAAGTAAACATTCTCTCAATTGGAAAAAGTAAAATAATAGAATTTGAGTGCAGAAAGTGGGTCAAAGGTAAAGCGCGCACTATAGCATAAACATATTTTTTTTTTGCTTCTTACTTATAAAGCAGGACATACTTAACCGTACAGATTTGCGCGTTCAATAGTTCAAATCTGTATGAAAATGAAATAAAGGTCAAATTTACCTTTAGCTACAGAGTATCGAATTTTTTTTTCTATTTACAAGTTACAAAATATTCGACCAAAGCCAAATATAAGTATTTTTTTGCTTCCTTTTTGTTTTTCTGTTTTGTTTTAGCAAGCAAAACTTAGTCTTATGTTTTTAGAAACAATTCCTCTTGTCGTCTGTACTCTTTTTGAAAATTGTATCAATGACATTTCAAAATAACTCAAAGTTTTACTTTCAATTCTTCTTCTTCTTTTTTCTTTTTTGCTAATATGTTTGAGTTTTTCAATTTTCTCTTTTCCAAAATCTCGAAGAAAGTTTCACTTGTTTAATAGTCTGTGGATTAGTATATATGGTTAGATAGAGTTCTCAATTTACTCTCAAAACAAATGTCATTCTGCGGTCATGTTTCAATTATCGGTTATTTAAGTATTCAAATTTAAATGCAAGATATTCCAAATTGACAAGACATATATAGAGTTCGACAAGCGTAAGGGTTTTGCATTAAATCTTTTAAAGCGATTATTACTCCGCAAAAAACATATATGCATGGCCGCAATAAGGAACCTTATATCACTCTAAGGTCATTGCAAAAGTTACTGACGAAGAACAACGATTGCGAATTTTTCCAAGATTATGGATTTGTTCGATGAATCAAGTTTCCCTATAAACATGATATGGTTTCCAGATTTTAATTACATGATCATATTACTAAACTCACGGGATAATATATATGAGCAGGGGCGAAACAGAAAATTTCGTTAACAATCTCATGTAAATTCTGGTCGTCTGCGACCATATGTATCTTTTACTCTCTCACTTTATTTTAAAAAGAAAAAAATAAAATTTTATTTCGGGTAACTGCAATATTGTCTGGGGTTGAGTAATATATTTAAATTTTCTGCCGGTACTGGTACGAATCAAGCATACCATAGCCGTAGGTGGAAATGGTTACCGTTGAATCCGTTGTAGCTTATCATTAATGAGCTAAAAAAGCCACATAGCAGAGGTGTTCCTAGCTAATCTTTTACTGCGAGATTATCTTTTATCCGATTAGCCTCCCTTGGAATATCAACGTGTGATTTTCAAATTTTTTTGCTAAACTTGAACACATTACTGTAATTTTTGCAACCATGAAAGTATTTGCCACAGATATAACATGGATAGATAGACAGATGGATACATAGACATTTCTAAATTAATTCAGAATTGATGATGTTGATTTTACTACACATATATACTTTATGAAATCACTGAATGAATGGCAAAATTGCTGCACAACCACCACACTTTTGTGGTGAATATAAAATAAAGTGTACATTCAGTTTAGCGCATCTGTAGTGGTAATTTATCAAATTTGGAGCGAAATACTAAAATTAGTATTGAGAATGCTTCGACGATGGCTATAAAAGCGTAGGTATGATTATGTTTTCCCCTTGCATAGCCTTAGTGCAGAAGTTTATACCATAGCGAAGCCCAAGCTTAAGAAGAATTCACCAAACTGTTATTACTGTCTGTCAACTTACGGTTACGCTCACCTTAGGTACTTCCATATCTCCATTAAGCTGCTTCCCTGTACTGAATTATTATTAAAATTATTTTCTGAATCATGGACAAAAAAATCTTTCAAACATCGTCACTGCTACTGTTTTGCTTTTAAACAATAATTTAGTTCAAATACACCCTGCATCGAAGAAGAGAAGCGAAGTTTATGCAATAAGTAAAGCATTTGTATTCGATTTAGGGCAAAACCATGCTGCCCATCATATATCAAATATATCAAAAACATTCGTTTAACTAATTAAATCAATGATGATCTGCAACCCTGGAAATTATTGATGGTAAAATTCATCTTGATTTTCTCTACCATTTTCAGTTTATGGGAAATAGCAAAAGCTATTTAAAAAATTTTTTGCTTTTTATTTTTTTGGAAGGTCAAGGATGTGTTCATAAGTCAATGCTGCTCCTGGGTTAATTTATCTTTATGTTTATTTATTTACACTTATTTATCTACCCATATATACATGAAATTCAACTAAAGAAAATTACGGCCGAATTCAGTGCACCTCAAGAGAAAATCGTATGCTAATCGTTTTAAAGACTAGTACACAATAAAAAGGAAAATAGAAAGAAGAATAGTAATAACAAAGTAAGTTAAAAATAAATTAAAAAGTTAAAAATAATAATTTATGTATAAATAAATAAAAAGAGAGGAAAAAAAAAGAAAGAAAAAAAAAGAAAGAAAAAAAAAGCATGTACGCAGCTAGCAAAGAAGCACACCCGCAACAAGAACAAATTCAGGTTGCAAGTGAACCCCTCAACCATTGCAAATATGCATAAACTTGACAACCGACACGTTAACAACACACTGTTATTTTATATAAAAAAGTGAGATATTAAGAATGAAATGTTAGTTCAAGTACGACATAGGTAAATCGCGCATATTAAGCAAAGTTGCTTCAATAGACTTTACAGAATCCGACAATGAGAATAAGTGATAGACATCATTTAGGTTTCTGCAAACAACTCTGAGCGGGTTAAACAGCTCATAATTGTATTTGGATTGACTAAGCTTAATCAAGATAAAGTGCTTAGAGAAGCGGTTAGGGACATTAAAGCTTATCGCACCGAGTAATGCGAGCGAGTCAATAGCACCATTTATTACTTTGATTAAAAAGGGAACCCCAAGAACAAATTCACGTTTCTCAAGTGTCGGTAAGGATAATAGAAGCAACTCTATTTTTATAGGGGAGAAGAGAGGCAATCGGCTACCAAGCCAAATTCCTAAGGGCAAACAACAAGAATTGCTATTGAACAGATTCAATTGAATCTGCATAGCACCTATATGAAGGAGACCACATAACGGAGGCATACTCGAGTATAGGTCAAAACCAAATGCATGTACAGCCAACGGAGGCATTTTCGAGTATAGGTCAAAACCAAATGCATATACAGCGTTTTCATAATGTAAGCATCATCAAGCTCTTTGGACCACCTCTTTATAAAAACAAGCGCGGACCTAGCTTTGCTTAACGCGAGCTCAATATGCAAGTTAAAGCGTAATCTATAGTCAAATAGAAGGTCTACGTCTGTACGAAATAATGAATGACTTCCTTCTTGAGAGAGAAATTTTCTTACATTTATTTAGATTTAGTTTCAGAAGATTCAAAGAGCACCATGCAACCAAATTATTCAAGTCAATTTAAAGGTAATCTATATGTTAATCACTGATGGGAGATCATTAATGTATAAACTGAATGAAATGGAACCTAAGCGGCTGCCTTGACGTACGCCAGACGTCACGGGGAATTCATCCGAGGTGATGAAGTTAAACAAAACGCTGAATGATCTGTTGTGCAGACAAAAGCTTATCCATTTTACTAAATAGCATAAAAGTATGAATTAAACAATCGTGTGGCATACAGTATTTAAAACAAAACAAAGCTAATTAAAAGACGAACTTTGCAAAATGTGTATCAGATTTTCAGTTTTGATATCGAAACTTCCAGAATTAGTCTAAGTTTCTAAGACAGCGTTGAATGTATCTTATAGGGAAATTTCTTGACTGCGCATAAAGTTTGCTTTTGCTTTGAAACATTTTTTTTTTTTTTTTTTTTGTTTTTGATTTCCAAAGGTTTCTCTTTTGTAATACCTTTTAACCAGTGAGCTGTCATTGACGAGTATACTGATCATAGAGAAATGTTTATGTTATGACGAATGTACTCATGCTATACGAGTTTTTGTGACACGATTTAAGCGAAAAGGTTACTTTCCAAAATTGTCACAGCAGTTAACTGGTTAATAACGATCTGAGTATCTCCAGACATCACGAACTAACAAAATTTATCACTTCACTTTGTGCCTCGGAACTTAGTTTTCGTGATCAAAAAGTGTTCGACTTAAAAGTTTTTTTCTCCATATCTCCTTGAGAGCTGATGTCAAATTAATAATACCAGAAAGATGACGCTAATCACTTTCGACGATAACAAAATCTAAGTAACGCTTTTTTAGTCTTACCGATCCCATATTTGATTGTCCTAGAAATTTCAAATGTCTTCGTTTCCTCCGAAAAAGGTGTTCGGTGTCTTCTAAAGAAGACCGTTTTTCCCATTCATTCTCCGATTCCGGAAAGTTTTCTAGCGAACTTCCCATGCTTTTCACAAGTACGGAATATGGATTATTTACAGTTACGTGGCTCGTAAGCAACTTTTGCTAAGTTATCTTACTTTGGAAGACCACTTTTTTTCCCGGGCTCATTATCATAAATACTCGATTCATATCTTGCGAAGACGTTGCGCAGGAATTTTAAACGATTACGATCTCTTCTTCTCTTTACGGCTTTTTTTTTTTTTTTTTTGATTGGTCAAATACGCAACTTTCCTAGGACTTACATACAAACTTAAAAATTCTTAAAATTTTGTATGTAAGTATTTTTACATAAAATTTTTGCATCTATATGTCTATTCTACTAAAAATTAGTAATGCATTTTTATTATTGCGATAAAAAAATGTCGATAATAAAACTTCTGGGTATTTACTATACAACAGACATGCTGGGGAACAACGGTTTCACTACTTTAAAAACGATGGTTAGAAATGTGTGTTTAAGATCGTTACGC